TTCAAAAACCTCAAAAGGGGACCCCTACTGTGCACGCCATCCGCCATTTTTTTCGTGTTACGCTTTATATAGATTTAAACTTTCTTCATATGCAAACTTGAATCCAGTGTGTGGGCTCCTACTGGGTAAACAATATATGGAATATTTCTCTTAAGAGAAGCTCCTTTGTTGAGGAATAAGTTTTTTTCACGATTCGGTTTTTTTCGAAACCGGTGAATGACGATTTCTAGAGTTTCTGGAAATGCTAATAAATGAAATTATTTACAATCTGCCTTTAATCGTTTATTTCTAAGACCGACATAGCCTTTATCACATTCTTGAGCAGTAAACAAAAATCAGAGAAAACAACATATTGAAAGACTAAACGAACTTATCAAACAAATGCTTCAGACTGTGACAATACAGGCATGTGTACATATATAACAAATGGGCACTCAATCACGAGTGTGATGTGAATATACATATAAAACGATATTGAGAGCTTTATTGCATAACACAGTAAAGTTATTTCAAAGCTTCAGTATCAAATTCATTTCAGTAAATTCTTAAATATGATATTTAGTTTAATAATGAAATGTAGTTTTAGCTTACATGATAATAATAATCATGCTTTGCGGAATAAAATTATATATGACCTTTATGACCTTGTTTTGGATGATTTTGACGTGTTAACCTTATATATTACTAGAAAACTTGTTATTGGTTAACCTAATAATTGTATAAACTTTAGAGAATATTGAATAATCATTTGATTTTGACAAGAATAATTAATTGCATCATATTGTATCATAGTTTTAATGAACTTTTGTAGTATTTCTAAGCGGCCATTTTGAATTGACCTTTTGAAGGTCAAGGTCAATTTTATTTTCTTGGTATCCACCCTCATCGTCTTCAGCATACCCGAATTAGGTTAAAACACTCAAGATATTACTTGTACTATAAAATGCCTCTAGCATTCATATTTTCTTAAAATCAGTCCTGTCTACCAACAAAAACAATAATTTCTTTAAAAAAAAAGGATTGCAGGTATCAGCAATAAAAGAGTGACATTGGAATTTGCTTATTAATTTGTAGTGTTAATTATGAAGTTTCAAGTCGTATTTGGATTACGATGTTTTTATCCATGCCGGAAACCCGTCTGAAACCTTTAATGCCAGACCGCTCATGTGCTTAAATGACGTCATTATCTTTATGAAAGAAAAATTATTGCGCTACTCTTAAACTATTGTTTACGAAGTATATGCAAGTGTTCATCCGTGTTGTTCTATTTCGACGGGGGCGATAGCGACCGGAGAATATTTCTTATTTCTGTAGAACAGCTACGGATGAATACAAACATACTTAGTGTCAAGCTTTATTTGGCTTCATTAGTAATAACTTTATTTCATTACTATACCTGTCCATTTGCACAAACGCGGTTCTATGAAGTACTATGAAAAATAAAAGGCTGCTATGAACGGACTTTGATATATCATCGACTTTTGTTCTTCTATTCTATGAAAATTTACACAAATATTTTTAAGAAAAACAACGCTTTCATTGGATGACAAATAAAGCTGGACACTTATATTATTTATTTCAGTTTCTTAATTTGGTTCTACACATCCACTTATGTCTTGTAAACATAACTTTTCTATTATAAAGAAAATCAGTTAATCAGAAAAAAATGCGCCGTGCGTTATCATTGATATTTTGTGCGCCATACGTTATCATTTCCGGAAAATGCCCCGATATTAATATTTACAGCAGTAAATCTAGCCAGAATTGGCATGATTGCTTACTTGACAACATATAACAACTTTTTTAAGTCAGTGGTTTCAGTTAATATACATATATGTAAAAGAAACAGTGAATTTGAGAGAAAAAGCCGAACGTTACCACGATCAAACCGGTGGAAAATTCTCTCGCTTCGAATCTGGTGACGCGCATTTCAGATGAAGTGCGGGACGAAACATCATGAAATAACATCCTGTGTGCCAGGAAAATTGTGTAGAAGGTTGTTATATGTACTTTAACATCAGAACATCACGAATTTCAGAGAAAAAAGGGGAAAACCTACTTTTTGGCTGCATCCGCCATCTTGTTTGTTTGGGTAACGAACGGCGTGATTCTCCCCGTGATTCATGTTCTATTCCGTTTCTATTATTTTCTCTTCACACCTTCATTACAATCAAATGTGTTGTTTATTTGCATTTAACATATATACTTACAATCTGTAACTATAGCAAAGATAAATTCAATTTTATACTAAACTAACAAATAACTTTTTTTTTCTAAAGCTTTATTTTCAGGCAGTAAAATTTCTTACATTTAATTAACATACCTTTGTTTTCTTATATGAACAGAAAGATTTAAAACTTTTTCTTTTCACACATAAACAAGAGTGATCAATGATGTGTATCGCCTCATGATAGTTAATAACATGTTGCAGCTCCAGGACAAAACGCGTTTTTAAATTCAAGGGCCAAAATTAGGCCAAAAACATTCAACCGGAAAACCCGTGTAAAATGCACAAGGACTTTAGCTATATATCAATCCTGTAAAGTTTAATTGAAATTGCATTAATGGTATGAAAGGGAGTAGCCCGGACAATCTTTAAAGACAAAAATAAATCATTAAAGGGCTATACATTTAACCAAAAATCATTGAACCAAATAAGCTGACAATATACCTAACTAGACTTTATAGTGATCATTTATGTAAAGTTTGGAGGAAATGGCACCAGTGGTTTCTGTGTAGAAGTCAGAATAGGTTTTGTGACGAAAGGACGGGTAGACGACGGAGAAGTGATCCCTATATGTCGCCACTACTCTGTATAACAGATTATATATGGGAAGATAGTTATCTCATATTTTATGACAAGCAAAGTACTGCCTTTGAAATGCAGTATCCTTACCATCTTTTGAGGACAGTAATGCAGTACCACAATAATAGCAAAATTCCCTTTACGTTTAAGTACTAGATATTATATATGGCATAAATACAGATTCTTTATTAAGATAATTATAAGTGGGACGTTCCATGATATATTATTATTATACCATTACTATCTGTTGAAATGCAGTAAATACAGAAGGGCCAAGAGGTCCCTAGATCGCTCACCTGAGAAATAGGTGTGAAGGTCAAAGTGGAGCCCCTTTTCACCCAAGAAGCACAATATGAAAACAAGAGTCGGCTCAATCTGAACAATTTTTGTACACTGTCACCAAGGAATTTTGTGAAAATTATTTCAAAATTGAACCAGTGGTTTAGAAGTTGTTTATATGTTGTTGTTTTTTAATATTAGCTCTGGCAGACATTCTATAAACAGTTGAGCCTGTCACTAAGTAAGAGGTTAGCTTATAAAAAGATGACCGAAAAAGAGAAGGACGTCAAACATTTGACCTGGCTGGGGATTGAACTGTCGATCCCCTAGGATGGAGCCAATTTTAGCCCTAGGGGTTTTATTTGAACAAACTCGGTGAACATATACTAGAACATGTTTAATGCCAAACATCTAAGCTCTTCCTATTGTTTGGATTTTCACAAGTAGATTTTAAAAGTTTTTACTACATACATATAAAGAAAATATATGACCGCTTGGGATTGGGTCAATTTTGACCTTAGTGATTTTATTTGAACAAACTTAGATATCTACTAGAAGATGTCTCATGCCAAATATCTAAGATCTAACTCTTTCGGTCATTTACAAAAAGATTTTTTAAGCCGTTTTGTTAAAAGATCTTTTGGTTGCCATTGTAAATAGAGTTCTTTATGGAATTAAATCCTTTTATCAATTTTGGTAGATCATCCCTGCTAAGTTTCAAATAAATTGGCCAAGTGGTTTAGGAGGAGAAGAACAAACTTGGAAGATATCCACTAGGTGATGTATCATGCCAAACATCTAAGCTCTATCTCTTTTAGATTTTTACAAGAGGTTTTTTTTTAGTTTTTATTATAAACATATAAGGAAAATCAATTACTTTTTTCGCCGCGCCAATTTTCACCCTAGGCCATTTATTTCAACAAACTTTGTAGACATTCACTAGATGTTTCGTACCAAATATCTAATCTATAGTGCTTTTGGATTGTAACAAGAATATGTTTTATGCTTTTACTATATACATATGAGGAAAATCAATGACCCATAGGGCGGGGTCGATTTTGACCCTAGGGATTTTATTTGAAGAAACTTAGGTATCTACTAAAAGGTGTTAAATGCCAAATATCTAGCTCTTTCGGTTATTTACAAAAAATATTTTTTAAAGACTTTTTATTTAAAAATCTTTCGGTTGCCATGACAAATAGATTTCTTTATGGAATTAAATTCTTTGAACAATTTTGGTAGAGCTTTATGCAAGGAACATTCCTGCAAAGTTTCAAAAACATTGCCCAAGTGGTTAAAGAGGAGAAGTTGTTTGAAAAAAATTGTTGACGGACGTACAAACGATTGACGTCATACAATGGGCCATCACAAAAGCTCATCTAATACAAAAGCCGCAATGCCTTGGGCCTTATAGCATTGTAGTGATCCCTTGTCAACTCCAGAACTTAAACATAGCTCAGCCTTTTTCGGGTTTTTACGTCGCACGATACCATGGCGACTTTTCATCTTTACTGATTGAAAAAGACTTTTGGTGCCCCTGCGTGCATTTCTAGCACGCACAAGCCGTCGAGTAAAACCGCAGATTTTCCATCAAGTTATTTCTACATGATCGAATCAAATGTCTCTAGCGGGATTCGAACCCACAGCGGTGAGGGCAGGTTGTTTGAAGTCAGCGATATTAACAACTCGGACATGGAAGCCCCCTAACTGATCGGGTTCTAGAGGACCTCAGTTCTAGGTAATATTCATAGATTTAAAATTAATTTATTTACTTCAGATTTGATTGTCGTTTTTATAACTACTTTTAAATGCACTCTTCTTAGTATCATCTATAACAAAAAATCTTAAATAATTCTACGAAAATAAAAACAATTTCCATGCATCGAAGAAAAATGTAAATGTGACGTTATTTTACCTTGAAGTTTAAGAAGCTTTGCCTTAACCACTGTGACATTACCGACTTCTATCATACTGGTCTCGAAGCCATTTTCAAGCTCTTGTCGATTTGTTTTCATCTGATCACTGACTTCCGTCTTGATATTTTCAACTCTTTTAACACATTGCTCTACCTCAAGTTTCAGTCTCTCCATTTGAAACTCTATACGTACCATTTTTTCAAGCACCTTTTCTTCAAAATCATATTTAGAACAGCGAGGTTCTTCACAATTTCTACCATTAGTCAAAAGAAACAGAAGAAACACTATTTTAGAGAGCGACATGTTTCACGAATGATAGACGTCTTGCTCGAGTTGTTTGCAAGTGAATGAATTAGACGATCTTCATAATTGCCACGAGGTATTCATTAACTTAAAATCATTTTACGGAATCCAATTCATGCCAATATGTTACAATCAATAATGCCTACCTCCCGTGTTGTCTCAGAACATAACAAATACAATTTTATACAATTATAGACTAATGTTGAGGTCTATATATAGTTTTCCGGACCTGAGATAAATGATAATGACCGAGGGAAAAAGTCTGAGGTCAATTTAATTTCTATCAGGTCTTAAAAACTATTTATTGGCCACAATGTTAGTCTACAATATATAAATCGTATGGCACTGGCTGTAATAGAGCATAAGATTAACTTTTTAAGAATATCAACTAATGTCTTAATGATACTGTCAGGTCAACACGTCTTTAAGCGGTCAGCACGTCTTTTTGCGAACTCATGACGTCATCGCTAATCGGTCAATCAAACAATCTAAACAGGACTTTTATATGCGGTATATCGGTATTTGGCACCACAACTTAGTGCAATTATATGATGTGTGTCAATGAGTAAATTACCAACTGTAAAATATTACATGTTATATGACATAAATGGATTATAACACAAAATATATCAGAATTTTATAAAGTGTAAAGAAGGATCTCGTGATTGTGTTGCAATGGAATATCTGCATGTACTTGATCAAGACGATGGATGCACATTTTGGAACATTTGCAGAACGCCAATAAACAAGGGTAGGGCAAACACAGTATTTCATACTTTGAGCGGTATGACAAGTACAAAATGCAGCTCTGGAAACTTATTTTTCACGGTTTAATGCTTTCCTATATATACGTAACATATTATATTTATTGTTACACGGTCGTTATATAATTATGTTAAGCCTTTTTATAATTATGTTTAGGTATATTCCATCTATTTTAATTTTCCGGACTTTCCTTTGGTTTTGCTAATAAACGTACGAACATGATATATATTTTTATATTTATGAATAAATAACGTTACGATGATGATTATTTAGACATAAATTTTATTAAATACTCGCGTATCTAAAAGTTTTCACATGCAGTCAAAGATATTATACGAAAGATCACAGCAATCAGACACATGTTATCAATTCGCAAAATAATTAATAGCTATCACCCGTAGTTTCTGGTTCTATAGAAGTGATACGATTATGAATGTAACACACGGAAAATGTGTTCTAAAGAAATTTATGAAATCATAATGTCTTATGACTTTGTGAAATTATTATATTGCTATTAATTTGTTGATTTGTACTCTGACTAAATTTGAAAAAATGTCTCGTTCGTGATTTATGCCTTCCACTTTCTATTTAATCTCGGAAATTTCTTTTCTTAGCTTTTTAGCTTTAAACACTATTTGAAGATTTAAAATATATTAAAGACGCATAGAATGAAGTAGTAGTAGGGCCTTAATAATAACATGATTTGATTGGATACTGCTACGTTTCGTGGGTCTGATTGTTTCATAATTTGACCTGAACATCAATTTGTTCATTTTATCATAACATTTAGATACATAAAGGCTAAACTATGCCGGAACCTTTGTTGACAATATCGAAGCGTGCCGTTTACTTCGTTTATTTAATATAACTACCAATTACTAAGTATTTTTCTCTTTGCAATGCATAAATTTCATTGAAATCATACAAATACATCTAAAATGACTATTTAAAATTTGTATCACCTTAATGTCTAAATATTACTTGAGCCATTTTTATTATCAACTACGCTGCCTGTGTGCACGGTCCGACTACTGGACGTACACGAGGTCTAACTCAATTATTTGCAATAGATACGACTGCGTTCCAGACGCGTGAAAAAAGTACGGAGCTTGCAGACGTTATCACGTCATGATCAACATTACATCATAAATTAAAAGCTGCAAATGCCGGCTGCCGTTCAAAAAGTCAGCGTCAAATTGCTCGAATATATTGCCGGCATAAAATTTAAGGAACAACCAACAATTCAACAGTATACGTGCGACCAAAGTGTACAAGTAAAAATAAAAAAAAAAAAAAAAAAAAAGAATCATGATTTACACGTTAAAATCTAAATGTTAAAGTCACATGAGGTGCCCGATTTCCTCCCCTCTATCATTCATCGAATTAAAATAAACGACTAAAATACTTTATTGGTAATATAACACCATGTAATGCATTTTTTTACAACAACAACAACTTTTATTAGCAAATATCGACAAAAACTTGCCTTTGGCTAAGGAACAGAAAAAAATACTTCAAATATTGATCATGTATACAAACATATTAATCAATTTTACACGAAACAATATTTATCAACAAATATACAAATATATATATATATTCATAGTGATCAGAAAAAGTGTACATTTATAAGACATCATTTCTAACAATATATGATTCTTTAAGATATTTACACATATTCAATACAGTTCTTTTTGAACCCATCATACGGTTGAATAAATTAAGATTTGGCCACGAAATATGTGGCATGTATTTAGTACGAACATTTGATTATTTTTACAGGTCATTAGAAAGTGGTACTCTGACTCAATTACATTACCATTGCAGTATCTACAAATTCTATTTATTCTATCAGTTCCTATATATCTCCAAGTTTCGATAGCTAGCGAGTGATAAAGAATTCAACAATGTGTTTATATTTACTCTTACAGGTGAGAAAAACAAAAGAAATGAAAAATCAGTAGCGAATAAGGTTAATATGCATTGGTACTTCTGTTAACTGTGCTCCAGAAGAAGACTTTTATATACAAATCATGTTTTATACAGGCACCCACAAGTACATCTAACAGATATATATTCCTTATCTATAAGAAGGAATACCCAGATTAAAGTTAATATAGATTAACGCCTATTTATCAAAGCACCAGAAAATGTATTCCATCGGTAAACATCTTGGTCGAGAATTTTCGAAGGACCAATACTACTAGCTGGTAGTACTTGAACCCATATGTTCTGTCCAGCGCTCGCTATCGCTACTGTATCAGCAGATAAACATTCATGATTTGCATCGCCATAGAACATTGACGTTGTGTATTTCGTCTCTTCAATCATTATAGATACAACCAGTGATTTTTTGCTGTAGACACAAAAAGCTAAACTGAACATGTATGTCCCACTGACGGGTGCTGTAAACTTTCCTGTATTAGGGTTATACGCGTCTCCTTCATTAAAGATTACTGTTGGAAACACTATCGTCTGACCAAAAGTTGTCACTGTTGTGTCTACATGTAATCTTGCCTTAAATGCAATTGTTGGTGTAACAGCCGTATCTAAAAAAGAAAAAACATTACATACTTAATATACAAGTAGGTGATTAACTTTACAGTCATATCTTAAGAAATATCAAACAAGGTGAGCAGTAACACGAACACTACTGATAAACAAGTGAGTTAAATATTTTAAATCAAATAAATGTAATAAATCCAAAATATTTTGATTTGAGACTCCTGAAAGTAATCTGTGAATAATCCTGATCTTAGTCGTGATTGAAACCAAGGCCCTGGGCCTTTGAAACTGAAATGTTTACAAATAAGACGGGGAATACGATGATAGCCTCCGTCCGTCCCGGCCCGTACGTCCCGTCCGTTCGTCTGTCCAACATTTTTGTCCGGAGCGTAACTCAAAAACTTTTTGAGATACCAAATTGATACCAAATTTACCAATCATAATCTTTAAGTGATTTCCTTTTATATTTCTCATTGTCAATTTTGTATTTTGTATCATGCATAAATCAAAATATTTGAGATATCACAGGAGCTTGAAATCGCTCTAAAGTCCGATTAAAAAAATCCATACCTATATACAAAAAACACAAGGAAGTTTTCGTGAAAAATCTGCGTCACTAGGCCGAAATTGATAACGGTTAATAAATCTAGTTTTATAGTGTTTACATGTTTATTTAATTTGTTTTAGATCGGATATTTATGTCACAAATGATATTATCGGTAAATTGCTGTTGTCTTAAGTTGGTGGGGTAAGATGTTGTTTCTTCCTTGTGTTCTTTGTTTTTGTATGTAGGTATGGATTTTTTTAATCGGACTTTAGAGCGATTATTGATATAATTTCAAATACATGTGGAGATATTAACTTGAAACTAGGCTGATATATCTTTTAAAGGATGAGTGCATATCATTAATCATTGCCATTTATAGTTTTCATGATAGATTTTTGTCCAGAAAATAACTTTTGAATGTCAACTTCATACTTTATAAGTGGATGGAGAGTCCAATGCACAAATATAATAACTTTTCACTTTTTTATTTTAAGCCTTTGCAATTTTTTGTTCAGACAATAATTTTTATTTGGAGCTTTATTCATTAAAAGCCGCCCTTGTTGATGTTTGTTCTTATATTTCTGTTAATTTTGGTGTGCTAGCCTTCTTTTATAAAGCAACGAAATGTCAGTTCATCATAGTTTATATTTATTCGATTTGTACAAAATAACAATGAAAGAGACATGATGTTATAAAACATTATATATACATGTATATATATATGTTGTTATACCTTTAAAATCTTGAAGTTCGCGAAGTTTTGCCTTAGCTATTGCTATGGAATTAGATACTTCTTTCATTCTGACATTAAAACCTTTTTCTAGCTCTTGTTGATTTGTCGTCATCTGGTCACTAACTTTCACCTTGATACTTTCAACTCTGTTAACGCATTGTTCTACTTCACTTTTCATTTGCTCCATTTGAAATTCCATGCGTACCATTTTTTCCAGAACCTTTTCCTCAAAATCATATTTAGAACAGCGAGGTTCTTCACAATTCCTTCCACTAGTTAATAGAAACAGAATAAACACAATTTTACACAGAAACATGTTTTTACTTGTGATAACCTCGACTGTCTTATTTATTTGGAACTGAACAAACTAAGTATTTTGAAACGTTATTCAAATAGTAAATCCTCATTCTGCTTTAGAAAATTATCCCAACTGGTTTTATTTACTTTTCGAACTCGTCAATGATTTTTATTTCAAATTTATGTTTTTACAAGTCTGGCACCAAGTGGTTTATGACGTCAGTATTTTAATAGTGATTATATTTTATAAGTGTTTTGTAAGCATTTATTCCATAAAACTCATTTCTCAAGATGAAACATGATGTAGCAGATGTAAAGCAGATGGTAAAAATGGTAATGCTCCCTCTTGGTTAATCCTTGCCCCCACCTTCAACACCTTGTTTGTCTGCCCATGTCCTGTTATTGCTCCTCCGAGTGCCGTTACATTTGGATATTGTTGGATATTGTTCAATGAACGTTCTACTCCTTTGTTGGTCTTTATTTCATTATATGAAAGAATTGACCACCTTACACAATTACTTTTTTCGAATTAACAGTAGAATATATTTACTAATAAGCTTTTCCTAGTATATCGGCGGAAATGGCGGCCTGGCGGCGTGAAGTTGGCGGCCCAGCGGCCTGGCGGCCTGGCGACGTGAAGTTGGCGGCCCAGCAGCCCAGCGGCCTGGCGGCTTGAAGTTGGCGGCCTGGCGGCCAAAAATTTTAATGTTGTAGAAATGTTTTTTAACACTAAAACGGCATTTAATGAAGTTTTAAAGATAATAATTGTTATTTAAAGGATATATAAAAAGAAAAAAATCACTTTCAGAGAACTTTTTCATTTTCTCATTTTCCATAGGGAACGAGCCTTGGCGTTGGGATTTCCCTACCCTCTATCTATCGCTGGCAGCCCAGCGGCCTGACGGCCAAAAAATTTAATGTTGTAGAAATGTTATTTAAACAATAAAACGGCATTTAATGAAGTTTTAAAGATAATTATTGTTATTTAAAGGATATATAAAAAGAAAAAATCACTTTCTGAGAACTTTTTTATTTTGTCATTTTTGTGAAGTTGGCGGCCCAGCGGCCTGGCGGTCTGGCGGCCAAAAAATTTAATGTTGTAGAAATGTTATTTTAACACTAAAACGGCATTTAATAAACTTTTAAAGATAATTATTGTTATGTAAAGGATATATATATAAAAAGAAAAAATCACTTTCAGAGAACTTTTTTATTTTCTCATTTTTGTGAAGTTGGCGGCCTGGCAGCCCAGCGGCCTGACGGCCAAAAATTTTAATGTTGTAGAAATGTTATTTAAACAATAAAACGGCATTTAATGAAGTTTTAAAGATAATTTTTGTAATTTAAAGGATATATCAAAAGAAAAAATCACTTTCAGAGACCTTTTTTATTTCGTCATTTTTGTGAAGTTGGCGGCCCAGCGGCCTGGCGGCCTAGCGGCCAAAAAATTTAATGTTGTAGAAATGTTATTTTAACACTAAAACGGCATTTAATGAAGTTTTAAAGATAATTATTGTTATTTAAAGGATATATCAAAAGAAAAAATCACTTTCAGAGAACTTTTTTATTTTGTCATTTTTGTGAAGTTGGCAGCCCAGCGGCCTGGCGGCCAAAAATTTAAATGTTGAAATTTTTTATTTTAACAATAAAACGGCAAACTTATTGAAGTTTTAAAGATATTTATTGTTATTTAAAGGATATATAAAAAGAAAAAATCACTTTCAGAGAACTTTTTTATTTTCTCATTTTCCATAGGGAACGAGCCTTGGCGTTGGGATTTCCCTACCCTCTATCTAACCCAATGATTTATTATTTTTCACACTCACCTAAACACACAAGAAATCAGTGAATCTACTTGCTACGCGCATTACAACGTACCTAGTTTTGAAAAGCGGGGGCTTAGGCGCCTGACTTTCTATGATTAAAAAGGATGTACGTCGCAGAAATTCTACTGACCAAGTTTATGTGTGATCCCTAATCAAAAAGCAATGTTATCATGATAAAGCACATCAATATTAAAGTCGGAAAGTGTCATAATAAAAGTGTTTATAACGAATTCAGTCGGATGACAAAAAGCGTTTACCGTTTACAAAGCTGTTTCTACATATTTGGTTATCTTGGGCGAATATTCAATTAAATTATATCAAACTGAGATTCGTCATCAAGAAGCATCTATTATTGAGAGATAATAAATTATAAACCCCCTTCATCATTTCCGATAAAGGACCTTTTCTGTTCTAATGTTGTTTGAAACCGGTTTGTACCTTAAAGATTAAAGTGATAGCGTTTGTGTAGATGAGCTACGCAATTCGCGGGTCAGTGATTTCCCACAAATATTACGAAAATTTTCAAACAATATTTTTTGTGTTTATCATTTATATCAAATACATAGGTAAATGTGTTGAGTACGTTTAAGATAATTATTTAGTGTCGCAGTGGTTAAGTCCAATATAAGGGTGTAAAACAGTTATCATATTGTATTTATCATCTTTTAACGATATAAATAAACAAAAACTACCAATTTGCCAACAGTTACTGTCAACTTAACGCAGTAGGTAAGACTGTCAGTTAAATTTCTAGTTGAATATCAATGCAATGCAGGTTCGATTCGCAATAATTATTTCTGTATGAAGAATATTTAAACGCACTACGATTACATAATATTTATAATTTGAATATATGGATCAATCTTTAACATTATATTTTTACTTTTCTGATAATGCTTTCTCCTGATGTGTGGCGTTTTCTCTAAGTATATGTTAGTGTTCATCCGTGCTGTTCTACAGAAATTAGAAACTTCGACGGGAGCGATAGCGACAGGAGAATGTTTCTAATTTCTGTAGAACAGCTAAGGATGAACACTAATATATTTAGTGTCAAGCTTTATTTGGCCCTTGATTACGTCACTACGCGGTACTATGAAGCACTATGAAAAATAGTTGGCGACTATGTATCGACTTTTTTTCTTCTATGAAAATTAACACACATAATTTTTAAGAAATACAGCGTTTTCATTGGATGACAAATAAAGCTGGACACTAACTGTACACAAGTGCATATCAACTCGTGTCCAAAAAATATCTGATGCATTTGTAACTATTTGAAACAAAACCGGCCAACTAAGAAAAAGATACATAAGATAGCCAAATGTAATAGTACTTATATATATAATTATGATTCGATCATGAATATAAAACTAAAACGGTCGCTCTGCCTACTGCGCTAGGCACATAAAAATCTGACGTTTTACTTTGTTTCAGCTTGCCTTACCTTTTTTATGGAAAGCCATGGCTGTCTTATATTGTTCTTTTTCAATTTATTTAACCATTTGGATAATATATAAGTTCGCTTCGACTATGTATATGTTAGTGTTCATCCGTGCTGTTCTACAGAAATTAGAAACTCTGACGGGAGCGATAGCGACAGGAGAATGTTTCTAATTTCTGTAGAACAGCAACATACTTTGTGGTGGCCTCATTATTATCCACTTTATTACGTCACTACGCGGTTCTATGAAGTACTATGAAAAACAGAAGGCGACCATGAACAGAATTCATTATAGTATCGACTTTTTTTTCTTCTATGAAAATTAACGCACAGAATTTTTAAGAAATACAGCGTTTTCATTGGATGACAAATAAAGTTGGACACTAAATATGAATTGAAAGCACCTTCTAATTTAACCGGAATCCATTGTGTTAATCCACAGCTACAATATATGAAACCATACCGTCAGTGTATGAAACAGAGTTAGCAATATATAAGTTGATTTTCTCGATATATGATTCCAGTTCTTCAATATATGGTACCAAAGTAGCCATATATGAAACCAGATATCCTGATATTAAACCGAGGTATCACAAATATTAATTCATTTTTCAATATATGAAACCAATGAATCAATTTATGAAACCAAAGTAGAAATATTTAAGTTGGTTATCACATTATATGATACCAATTCTTCAATATATTGTACCAAAGTAGCCATATATGGAACTAGATGTCCTGATATGAAACCGAATTTTCAATATATTAATTCATTTTTACAATTTATGAAACAAATTTATCAATGTACGGAACCAAAGTAGCAATATATGACTTGATTATCACTTTATATGATACCAGTTCTTCAATATATGGTACCAAAGTAGCCATATATGGAACCAGATGCCCTTATATGAAACCGAATTATTTTTACAATATATGAAACCATTTTATTAATGTATGGAACCAAAGAAGCAGTATATAAGTTGATGTTACATTCTATGATAGCAATTTCCATTATATGGAACCAAAATAGCCTATTTTCAAGTCAACAAGTCAAAGGCCGAGGTCACTGGGTTCTGTTATTACAAGGCATACACTTTTTCATGAAATCAATTATTTGACTGGTTATTTTTATTTGTGAGTAGATTAACCTTGATGTGTCCTACTGGCCATGCCCATTTTTGATCAAAGGCAAAGGTCGAGATAAACTTATGTTTAAATATGTTCTTGTTTATGGTCAGTACGACTCAGTAGCTTAAATTATGACTTTGAAATTTTACATACACCTCGTACATATATAACGATAAGTTTTGCCTGCCCAGCCCATTTTAAGGCCAAAGTAATTGAATGTGACGTTAAATTCAAATATTTCCTTATTTAGAAAATGTGCAGTTTGCCATTAGTGAAGCACGCTGGTCTTTTGACAGTTCAACAAGGAATATTGGCGCGAAACTGTAATACCGGTGCGAGGATAGAATACAGCCTTTAAAAAAGTCCCTTCAGTATAATGACATTTTGGTTCCACGCATTGCTCATTTGGTTCCATATATTGGAAAAGTGGATTCATATACTAGCAACCTATGACAATATATTAAGGAATTGGTGCCATATAATGTAAAAATCAACATATATATGGGAAATTCAGTCCAATACATTGATAAAATGGTTTCATATGTTGTAAAAAACAATTTAATATATAGATAATTCGGTTTTATATAAGGACATCTGGTTCCATATATTGCTACTTTGGTACCATATATTGAAGAACTGATATCATATAATGTGATAATCATCTTATATATTGCTACTTCGGTTAAATACATTAATAAACTGTATTGTAAAAATAAATTAATATATTGATAATTCGGTTTCATATCAGGACATCTGGTTCCATGTATTGATACTTTGGTACAATATATTGAAGAATTGGTATCATATAATGTGATAACCAGCTTATATATTTCTACTTTGGTTTCATAAATTGATAAATTGGATTCATATATTGAAAAATTAATTAATATATTGATAATTCGGATTCATATAAGGATATCTGATTCCATACATGGCTACTTTGGTACCATATATTGAAGAACTGGAATCA